TCTCGGCTCATAGTTTAATCGGGTTTAATAAAACGGCTCAAACTCGGCCCGGCTCACAATTAATGGGGCTCGGCTCAAATAAAATCGGGCCGAGCTATCGGGCTTCGGGTAGGCCCGGCTCAATTGCCGGTCCTACCATTTAATAACTCCATTGGAGTTGCTCTAAACAAGTAGAATGTTTTCGTAATTAAACTTTACCTTAGGGGTTTTTTTGTAATTTGTCCTTTAAGATATTTAACGAATTAGCGGCAAAGCGGTTCATTGCGAAGTGGGTGTGGGCAACCTGAAATCGAGGCCGGCCCAGGTGCCACGTGGCATATGTCGACAACGACTATACAATGATGGGAAATGAATGGTGATGGAGCCATGTGCGCCGTTAATAAAATAACTTACCGACGAATCATTCAATACTGTCCGTTGATGCTATCAGGCCTAGGGGTGGGTTTTTTTTACCAAATTGCCCTACCAACCCGTTGCCCTACCGAGCCCTACCGATTTTCTACCGAAATATTTCTACCGAATTATTACCGTACCCTACCGTACCCTACCGAAATATTTTGGTAGGGCAACGGCACTCAATATTATTACAATGGTATTGCCCTACCGTACCGAAATATTATTAATAAATAAAATTTTGTTTTAATAATTAATTTATTATATATAAAAAGTTATTATAGTATCCTAACCAACTACCATGAGTTAAAATTAATTATACTCTTTATGTATTTCAAAAATATTTTAAATTGCTTTCATTAATAATGATATAATTGATGTTAAAAAAATTTATTTTATAATTGTATTTACGAAATATTTCATATTAGGTAAATTAAGAACATATATATAGAATACTTATATCATAAATACTAGTTTGAATATTTTAAACATGTATATACCTTGAATGGTTTTGAAAAAAATGATATTGAATTTAGATTTAAATAGTAGATAATATAGATTGGTAATTACCATTACCATACCCTACCGTACCGAAATTTTGGTATGCCGAAATCGGTATACCAATTTTTTTGGTAGGGCAATGGTAATGAATTTCATAATACCGAAATTTTGGTAATGGTAGTGATTCGAGGGATTTGGTACGGCTGCCCTACCAAACCCACCCCTAATCAGGCCTACTGAGATCAAATATTTATCATTTTATTCAATTACTTAATTATTCCTCTACTAATATACTTTTATCACATAACAAGTAATATTTTAATCTTAAACTACATGTATATCAATATTTTATATTCATAGATTTCCAAGAAATATTCTCCAATTCCAAAAGCCTGCAATCAAAATATTAATATTTAAAGAAGTATGTACAGATAAATCCCCAAACGCTTAACACAAAATGTGGATAAGTCATCGTCTACGTTTCACGCGCTAGTCAAGCTCTAAAGCAAATAAAAAAATACAGATCAGTCCCTAACCCCACGTTTTCACTTTTTTATACACTCTATCTCCTGTCTCTTCTCTTCTCTTTCTATATTACCGTTTCCTCTTCCCGACGGCAAGAAAACAACAGAAAAATCCCACAATGACAACAAATGGTGAACCAAATCCTATCCGCACTCAAGTTCTTGGAAGTTGTCGGTACAACGATGAACCCAAATCATTTCCATTAACACGGATTCGACTTTAACGGAGATCTATGTGTATGTTATAAGGAAGTGGGATGATATC